GACAAACAACAGCTGTTCAAAGGTAGCTGTCATTCTTTATGATGTGATACGTCCTGCATACATAAAATAGAGCATACATAATTTTCTGTGTTTTTCTTCAAAGTGAGTCCAGAAGAAGCTGTTGTATGCTGTAAAATTACAGGCAGAGCAAAAAAGTAGGGCTCTTCCATGAAGCAGCACCATTCATCTGAGCACCTCAGGTTTTCAGCTTTGTGTCACAAGGAAGCAGAGATGAGGCCATGGCATGGGCTGTTCACCCAGAGCATGGTGAATCATGAACAGACATCACCTCTGTCCCTGCATGGTTCATGAAGCTGTCTAGCCCTTTTCAGACACTTGGTCTGAGAGTACCAGGCTTAACAATGGTCGCGTTACATGAGAACTGTACATAAGATAAGTTCAAACAGGAGACCAAGATGAGTGTTCCTCCTAAAACCCTATAGTGTGGCATAAGCAGCAGCAGCTCTCACAATGACCACCCGCTGCCTAAGTACCAGCTGGCTAATCCAAGCTGTCCCAGCTGGTGGGTAGCGACAACAGAGGGAGCTAAAGATAATGCAGAAGGTCAGGGAGATGCCAGGCTTTGCTATTTCTGTTGCTCACAATTGTTCTACTTCCCTGCATCATCCCAACTGCACTGGTAAAATACGTGCAAAATACCTTTGGCTGTGGGTAGCACAGATGTCAGTAGGGCTATTCTGCAACTTAACATTGGGATGAATTTGTTTCAGAGATTCTGTTGTATAACTAATCTGTGCACCCTGAGGTCAGCGTAGCCCATCAGCATAATTAGCTATATTTCTTCCAAAGGGGTTAGTAATCTGTCAAGTCAAAGTGGACATTCAGGACATTTCATACACATTCTTTGCTTGTGTGTTGAAGATGCAAGACAAAAAAGAAGCAAGGCCTCCATCTTCTACCTTTCATACCATCAAGAATATGTTTTCTAGAAAACAATAATGCTGGAAGGAGTTGCTGGACATCAGCAAGCAGGTCTGCTCAGCCACAAGTCCCTGTGGAGTCTTAGGAGCCACCTCCCATCTCATTTGAACTACATGAGAGAAGCAACCAGGCTCCCTTCACAGAGCTGAAGAAGCCTTTGCACATGCCACCAGCTTGCACAAAGAATCCTCTTTGAATGACCCTAAGCAGAGGGTGATTGAGCATCAGCTGGTATCTGAACTTCAAAAGCAGGAGACTCAGAAGAGGATCTGGTGGCTTAGACTTCAGAGGAAACAGAGATCAAGGGTCTTGCCATGCAGAATGCTCTGCAGATCTGGGTTGGATTTCTGAACAAAGAGCCAGCCTTCTTTTTGTTACCATTATGCTCAGGAAGCAAAAAGTTCTGTACGATCTTTGCAAACAAAAATACCTATCTCGTATCTCAATTTCTGCTCCTTGCTGGTGGTAACCTGATAGAGTTAGAGCTGATAGTTAGAGTTACAGTTTTGATGTGGTATAGATTGTGATATGGGAGGCTGTGTTGCCATTAACTCCGGACTGTTCCTGGTGTGGAGTGTGTACCCCTGGTTCCTCCACCACTAGGACGTAAGGAAGGACTTTGATTTAATTTGTCTGCTAATCTCAGTGCCTACTCTGGGCTTTGTTTTCATGTGATCTGGAGCATTGTTGCTTTTGAAAATATATCGGTGTGATTTAGCTTTGAAAAGAAATTCCTCAGGAATTAAAAAATGCGTTGATTTCAGGCAAAGCTCAGAGAGTGGAAGTGGGAGTGTTATATTTTCATAACCCATGCATGCCCTTTCTTTCAGCTGGGATGGCCTACTTGCCGTTATGAGATACTGTACTACAGATGAGATTTTATATAGCATTTTCCTACAACATTCACACATGTCAACTCCTTGTGGAAACAAAGGAAGACTAATCAAAACAAGCGGTATCTCCTCCTAACCACGAGGCAAAATGCCACAGAAAGGCATATTTTTATTAGTTTTTAATATTGAAAGAATTATGGCATTTATTTGTTTACTTACTACCCAATGGAAAAGAATTGACAACCACTGCTGCAAAAGATGGAGATATACACACTGAAAACAGGCTATCTGAGCACTGCTACCAGGCTTGCAATGAGGCAGCACTGTTTGAAAAGTGAACTCGAGAAGCTGAGTAACCACACCGGTTATAAGCTCTTCCCAAGCCCTGGTGTTGCAACAGTTCTGCTGCTGCTACAGATGATAGCAGCTCTGGTATTGGGAGTGAAATAGTTTTGGCGCCCAGCAACAGAAGAACTCACTGTCTGACATATACCTTCTGATACTATGAGTGCTTCAGCACGTACACAAAGGACCTCAGATGGGGTGACAGCAAGGTCTGGAGCTTGATGGAGCAGTATCAGAAAAACAGGGCTGTGTTTTTAATCTATCTTATTCTGTCTTTTAACTCTAGTGAAAGCTACTTTATTCATAAAACTAAGTCACATAGTGTCTCACATCCAAAGAGGTCTGTAATTTTCTTCCATAAAGTGCCCCACTAATTAACCAAGAATACAATTAGTTTTGAGTTATTACAACATCTTTGTAAGCCTCAGATGGACAGTAGTACATGGTTTACTAGTTAGTAATAAATGCTGTTCCCTTTAACTGTGTAGCATGTAATACCTCATGAAGTAAACTTAATATGTCTTAAACACCATCAACTTTTGCACTGTCTTTGTTACTGACTAAACATGTGATCTACTGTTTGATATTGAAGACCATGGGTGTATAGGTTTTATCTTGATTGGGAACCTGAAGGGCATTTCTGAGCAGTCATGTCTGACGGAGAGTCTCAGTTGCTTTCCAGCTCTGTGTAGGAAGCAGAGAGCCCTTTACACAGCTGTCCCACTGCAGGTATGCACACAGATGTACAGCCCAAACAGGACCTACAGTATGTGTCAAACAGCTGCATTATCTCAGTTACTGGGGGACTAGGACCTAAACTGTGTCCTACCACACTGTATGCGGGCCAAGCTGCAGTAACCAACATGGGATGTTAGCATGAACTTCAGTGGAAGAAGTTTCTATGAGGTTTCTTTCATTTGGATTAGCCTAAAAGACACTCAGAAAATTAGTAGCAGCTCAGCTTACATGGGGGATCTCATGTAACCTGCCTAAACTTGGAAATAAAAGCCAGTGAATGTAGGTAAAAGTATGGAAGACTGCAGTGAGCATGTAAGTTTCTGAACTGCACCAGGTCTCACTTTCCTTGTGTGATGTGGTCTTTGGGTACGTCACGTTTCTGTTGAGATGTGTCTGTCAAGGCAGTCTAGCCAATTAACTGAAGATAGCAGGACATAAAAGAAATGCTAGATGGTAAGAGAAATGATGCGGTGTGCCCTAGCTGTGGTGGCACAGTAGATTCTAGAACAGACTTAGATAAAGCTTAGATAAGAATTAGGGCTGCATATACAAAGATGAATCATGTCACAGACATTCCTATCATAAGGACATAGACCAGCTTTTTACCAGCATGGCCTATCCTTTCTCATATCATGACTTAATTAGGACTGAGAAGTGATTCCTGAAAATGTCCCCTGAAACATGGAGGGATGTACTTTTTGATGATAAAATTCAGTGACTGTTGACATAGACTTATAATAATTCATTTTGCTTTTTAAAGTGGCTTAAATAGTTTCCACAGTTACAAGACTGCCCAAAGCCCACAACGTCTTTCAGCAATGATTTCTTCCCCAAAGCAGTGCCTGAACTGGCTCTAAATTAGCACATGTATAAGGCAAGAATGGTTAGGCTGACTATCCTTGTAATTAAAATGCTAGAGTGTATGGCAATTGGCTTGCACATGCTCAGATTGTTTGAACAGAAATATTCAACACAAGACAATCCTCCAGAACAAGAAAGTCTGCATGCCAGTGGTGAGAGACCATGTGAGTCACCGCTGTTCACAACATACTGCAGTGCAGCCCAGCACAGTCCTACTTCTCTGCTGTTTCTCCACCACGTTACTTGCTGAACACCTCTAAATAATTCCTTATTTGTCAAAATGGAACTTGGGCACTAATTTAAGGCAAGTTTTTTCACTGTCCATCACTGCAAGGTCTCCCAGGGACTGCATTTAAAACGGGGGTGGTGGGAGGAGGAGCAGCAGCAGCTATGTTGGAACTAGTCGTTAGTGAATGACTTCTTGCTGCAGTCAAACACTGCGCTGCAAGTTCCTGAAGTAATGCTAATATACAAAAAAGAAAAGATTACAAGTACACTACGTGGCACATGCACAGAAGGATGATCCTGTTTGGTTTGATAGCCAAAAAAGCTTTACAGAATGTTTTGCTAAAAGAAAATTGTGTTTGAATATAGAAAAATGACTCAGTGTGAAAGGACTACATTTTCCCAACTGCTATTCATTCATCAAAAATATGTACAAAGTATATTCAATTCTTTATTAACCCTGCATGAAAAAAAGGAAGTATGCTTGTGTGTGGAGTTTCTATATTCAGGAATGTGTTGGCTAAGGTAAATAAATTATTAATTTATAATTACTAAAGCATGAGCACAAGTATGCAGGTATGAGCATCCTTTAAACTGAATCAGAATTTGTTTTTACAGTATAACACATTCAATAACTAAGAAAGGCTGTATAAACATGAAGTAAATAGTTGACTAAGGATCTCTTTGGGAACTTCAAGCTCCCTTGGAACCTCTCATTTTACAGCTTTCATTTTAAAAGTTGATACTCAGGTCCAATCTTGTCAGTAATTCTAGGGCAGCAACACTACAGGGGAAATAAGAAATTATAACAAATAAACAGACTCCAACTAGCACAGTTGTTATGAGCAATCATCCAGAAGGTACATATCTCCTTAGAAACTGCAGAAGTACTTATCTAAACACTCTTGAATGCTTCTCATGAAACGAGTAACAAAAATAATGAGCGCAAGCATTTCTAAACAACAAACTTTTTGGGGTTAGGGTTTAAGTTTTTGTTGTGTTTATTTCATTTTAATAATCATGCCCTAGAAATAAGCCAAAGTGAAGGTTGCTTACCTCTTACATGGACTAGAAGAAAGCCAAGGCACAGAAGGATACTTTTGAGTTTCCCCATTGTCTTGAATGCAGTGCCTCGATTGTCTTGTTTTTTCCCAAGCAATGATGGTAGATGTTGCAACTGCAGTGCCAAGGTTTGAGGGAGACACTTGGAATCAGTGGCTCTGTCCAAAGAGTTCTTTCACCATCACACCCAAACACCACAGAAGAGAGAGAAGTCCCTAAAACCTCTTCTAGTACAAGACAAGCAACAAAAGCAAACAACCCTGCTACGGCCAAGCTGTGAGCAGCACCGTAGGTGCCCCCCGCCCTATAAGAAATCTATTTATCACCCAGGCAAGGAGCGTGGAGAGCTGGAGAACCCGCAGCAGCACCCAATGAGGAGGGAGCCATCGTGATCTGAATCCACCTCCTCCCCGGAGGGAAAGCCAACCTGTTTGACATCCTCACCTTCAAAGCAGGGTGTGGTGCTGTGGGAGCTCAAGCAGCGTGTGAGAGGAGACTGGCCTTCTCTGAAGCATACTTGGAAGAAAAATCTCTCAGATAGACTCTGTCCTCAGAGTGCTGCTTCCCTGCTCAGGTGTTGGCTGAGCAATAGCTGATCATAAAGGCAATCTTGTCAGAATCCTAACTGTTCACTTGAGTTTCCATGCTGGGGAAATGGAGGCCAAGAATCTGCTTTGCAGAGACCTGGGAATTTTCTGCAGGGGGAATGACAAAAAAGTTATATTTTATACACTTAAAAAGTGATATTGCACTACCGAAGCATGCTCAGCTCCTCAGCAGATGCTTGTCTCCAGGAGATAACATTGTCTGTTGTGATTTTTCCATTGATCTAGATATATTTTTAAACATAAATATCCTACATGGACAGAGATCTTAGTGCTGAGCATCAGAAGACAAAGCTTTGGGAAATGAACAAGTATCATCCATCCATCCATCCATCCATCCACCCATGAACACAGTTTAAAATCACTGTTGTGATTTAAATTCAGTTTTGTCATAGCCTCTCTCTACCAAATACCTATGTCAAGAGACACTTGTCTCTTGAACTGGATTGCCACCATCACACCAGCTCCCAGCACCAACGAGGAGACTGGTGTGTGTCCTCCCTTTTGCTGGGGGTTAAGATGCAGGGAGGCCAGAAAGCACTGTTTTGACTAGGGCTGGAAATACACTGAGGACTCTGCTACCATAAGTGGCCAATCTGTACGCTTGCAATGTTGCTGGGTAACTCAGTCTGATGTGGGGCACAGGCTGGCCCCAATTGCACTTCATTTCAGTTACCTAGAACACACAATGCGTGTGCTGAATTCATGCTTTGATGCCAACTACAAAAAAACTGACACAACAACATAAACTGGACTGATAGAACCTGGTGACACTGGATCTTCAAGAAGCTTCATGTCCAAGTGGGTCAGATTTGAACATATCCCCACCCCCCCCACTCCCGCAAATCTGAACCAGCAGAATGGTTTATAAAGGCCTGGTTTACTGCATCACATGGCTCAACTATTTACACTAGAGGTAGAAGCTCTAAAGCTAAAATTGAGCATCATCATTCTCCTTGTCAGGGCCAATTCCTCAATCTCAGAAGAGTAAGGACATTTAGGTTTAAGAGGTGACTTTGTCAGCCAGTTAGAACAGGAACTATAACATGACACAAGCAAGCCCATAAGCCCACTGTTTTTTCCCAGAATAACAAAAGCAGGCACACATATGTTAATCTTCTTACCAGTGATGAATTTGCCTGAAGGGAGCAGGAAAGTTATCAAGGCTACATACTAGAACCAGGCAAGTCCAAGCAACTCAGAAATGCTCAGTAGCTTTATTTCAAAACAGTTGTTCTTGTAAATGAACTGACATGTTATCTCACCTGCCTGCTGATACTAGCTCATTGGGATATGGCACGTTCTTAAGTTTGAAGATGATGTACCCCTTGTCTAGCTCTTCTGAATCCAGATACTGCTCTATCTAATGAAAGAAAAACAACGGGAAGGTGGTACAGAAAGAAGTGGACCTAACATTGGAGTCCGGATGTCTTGAATACCTGTCCCACTTCCGTTCCTGGGGACATTACAGGACCTTCTTATCTCAGCTCCCTCTGTCAAAGACATGCAACAGCCTGTCCAAGATAGCAACTAAACAATATTATATATTTAAAACAAATATAAGGCCTTACACGTGATGATAAATTGCAGTTTTATCACTTTAAGGAATTACTGACCCATCTTCTTCAATTTAAAGGGAAAACAGCATTCTGCCTAATATTTATCTTACAAAGTAGATGACTTGCTGAATTCTTTTTACTTGTTCTTTCAAAAAAAAACCCTGTATTTAAAAAACAGCAAATGGGAGGAGTGTCTGTCTGTCTGTCCTTTGCACCCATCAGGTCTCTTTCAGATGAGACAAGCTGAAAGAGAAGAAAAGGACAGTCGCAACTCACCACAGTTGCAGCCCCATCCTTCCTGTGGGTACAGGTTAGACACTGCTCTCTTTGTCATGGGAGACCTGCTGTATGAGTCTATCAGAGATGAAAGAATCAAATTATACACTAGAGCTGCTAGGGAAAGCCACTAATATCCTATAGTATTCATCTTCTGCCATAAAAATTGAAGTATTTTAATTAAAATATTGAAACATCCGGTAATATTAGACATTAATTTAAATATGAACCAAATACATGAGTGACTCAGTGACAGAAGTTCTTGGCAACAGAAGAATACAACTACTATATGCTAGCTAAAACTTCAGTGTTTTTCACAAGCAGATGGAGGAACACGATTTTTAGTATTTTATTCTCATGGTTCTTAAAGCACTCCAAATGTAGGGGTTTGAAAACCCTGTGGTTTTGCTTCATTCAAGTCCTTTTCCTATTCCTAATCATCTCTTCCCCTTCTTTCAAATGTGTCTTTTATATCTGTGTAAAAGAAAAGAGCAAGAAGAAATTAAACTTTTCAGTTTATGAAAAAGTTAGGGTTTGTTTCATAATCTTGTCAGGTGGAGAACACTAGAGAATAGTACAGTTTAGACGTTGGCCTAAAATAACTAGCAAGAAAAACACCAAAATGCACAACTGGGAGCGCAATTCAACGCAAGGTACGCTAAATGCCAAGTGCACTAAATAGTTTTCTTTAGCATTCAGAATTTGGCATAGACATCAGAATGAGCATGAATAGGAGCTACAGTAAAAAGCTGCAAAATCTTATGCTTAAGAATTGCCTGCTTTCATTTCCACAGCCCAATGAATTAATTTGGATAAGTTTGGGTAAGTATTTGACAGGGACATCACATTTGAAAACCATCAAAACATTTTTCAAGCAGTTCTTTTCACTGGTGCTTAGGATGAACTGAACTGCCACCACAGCAGAAACTAAAGTGACATGATATTCTACTAGAAGATCTTGCTTTTTTTTTTTTCCCCCCCCTCCTGTTACTGAAGGCAATTCCTCCTCCTCAGTGGAGGAAGACTGGAGTAAAAAACAGAACTGAAGAGGGTGTGCTACAGGGACAGGACTGGGCTCTTTGTTGCTATCCGCTTGAGCTCAGATTAATGGTGAAAGTATCTCACAAGAGTGAACTTGTACTTTGGGCCTAAAAAGGACAGTATTTTTTCATGCCACTGCATGGCCTGATCTAAACCTGCACTGGAATCTGGAACCTTAATTCCCAAACTGGGACCTGAGTGCTACTGACAGCCTATTAAGGCCATGATGGACAACAGCTGATCTGCAGGGCATTACCATAAAAATACTTCAGTAGAGTGATGAATAACGGTTAACTGATAATTTTTCTTGACCAAAAGAATGTGAGAAATAATGAATTAGGAAGGTTAGTTAAGCTATGCAAGAGCAGTTGAGTTAAGAAGGAACAGCTCAAAGTTTCAATGGGTAGTAAGGCAAATAGCAGTGTACCAAAGACTACCCTGATAACTGAAATATAAGTGAACATTTTATCCCCAAATAAGAAACAGAAACCAAAACTTTTCAGCTGGACAGCCTGAAATTTCAAACCTTCTCTTTAACCTTTTCTTTTGCATTGGGTGTGCATGGCCATGTTTGGATAATGGAGGGGCTATGAGGGTGGTTTCTGTGAGAAGATGCCAGAAGCTTCCCCTGTGTCCAATACAGCGAACACCAGCCGGCTCTAAGAGGGACCCACCGCTGGCCAAGGCTGAGCCCATCAGCGATGCTAGTAGCACCTCTTGGATAATGTATTTCAGAAGGGGGAAAAGTTGCTCCGTAACAGCAACTGCACCCAGAGAAAGAAGTGAGAATGTGTGAGAGAAACAGCTCTGCAGACTGTGTAGAAGTAAGCGAAGAAGGAGGGGGGGGTAGTTTTTATTTCTAGAGTTACTATAAAGGAAAATACATAAACATTTTCTTTTTTATAGATTTATTTTTAGAAAAATCACAATGTTAATAGGAGGTTTTAATAAGTAATTTCAGGCTTGCAAAAGCTGAAGAAGGATTCAAGAGTCTGGTTAGCTGAAAGCTAGCCTGAGCCCACCATTTTATCCCTAATGAACACTGGCTTATTTCTGTTTTCTCTGTACTTGGCATTGATATGAGATACCTGTTTATTCATGTAGGTAAGCAGTACATTTCATTTCTTTGTATTTACATAGATCAAATGTTTATATAAAAAATCATTTTTCCACCCTCAAACACACACTTAAAGGTTTTAGTTCTTTTATCCTAAAAGCAGAAGTAGGGAAAAAGAGGTTTACAAATTAATTCCATAATAAAATACCAAGATCTGTGTAAAGCTTTGTTGCAAGCTAAGAAACATGTACAAGAAATTCTTAAATGAATTATTCTTGGCATACATTCACATTTGAATGCACAGATATATTTACATGTTTAATATCCAAATTCATGATTTCTAAGATGTTCTGTGAAATGTCATCTTTCTGTAGAACCCTTTGGCCAGGAGGCTGAAGCACATTAGTAAGACACATATTGTAAAACTGCAGGAAAATTGGACACAATTAGAATGCAAGCCAACAGAACTGGTCAGACTACACCTTCCAGACAGAATTAGTTACTAGTCCAGACTCAGTCCTTTAACTGTTATGAGTTGCAGTTTTCCATGTTTCCACAGATCTTTGAAACCTTTCTGTGGCTTTCGAGAGCAAAGGCCACTAGTGCTTTCAGTTGAGGTTGCAGTCATAGGTCCTGATGGCAATCCTTCACAAATCCAAAAGCATTCTTCACATATATGCTATTTATATTGTTCAACGGATAATTGTGGAGTGAGGCTGGGTTGTTCTGGTCAGTCCTGCATTTCAGCACTTTCGAACTGTAGCACTGTTTCTGTCTTTTTAGAGTGTATGACAAGCCGCCTGAATTCAACATCATTTTCTGCTAAGTTTTTGGTTATGGAAGCCTGAAGATGTCAATCCCCACCCCCTAATATTTCATCTACAACTGTTTAGACAACTGCCAAACACCAATCTCACCAGATGTAAAAAATCCAATTATGGTTCTGATTTGCAGATCAGGCTTTTCCATATCTGATCGGCTCAGTACTTGCTAAGCAGGAAGAGTCAGAAAGGATGAAGGGTCTCTGTGCACTAGTTTGAGTGTTCTGAATCTGTACCAGACAGATGCAACAACAACAACAACAGAAAAGCAAAAACAAACCTGATTTTTTGTCTCTTGGATGCTCTAGAACAAGTATCTCTTCCTTCCCTAGTGCGTGACCCAGGCAGTTACATGGATTGAATCAGCAGCACCCACACCCAGATTCATTATCCTACACAGTGAGCCATTTGCTTTCAAGGTGCCCACAACATATGCCAGGTTGTTTGGCTGGTACACTCACTGTGTACATGATATTAAAAAATATTTGCACACTGCCTGAAAGCAATGGCATAACAAAACACTACTTGCCTCTTTTTCTTTTGGAGACATATGGAAAAGTTAAGAACAC